TCCAGATCCTCCTGTATCCTAAGCCTGTCTTCTGGAGTGTTGGCTATTCCTGCCAGCTTGGTGTCGTCTGCAAATTTGATGAGTTCCCCATCTCTCCCCTCGTCCAAATCATTGATGAAGATGTTGAAGAGCACTGGGCCCAGAACAAAGCCCTGGGGCACCCCACTACACACTTCCCTCCATGTAGATGTGGTTCCATTGAGGATCACAGGCTGAGTACGGCCGGTCAGTCAGCTACGGATCCATCTGGTGGTGATGCTGTCTAACCCGCATTTTTCTATCTTATCAAGTAGTAGGTTTGTGATCTACTTTGTCAAATGTCTTACTGAAGTCCAAGTAAATTATATCCACAGCATTCCTCTGGTCTACTAATTTTGTCACTTGGTCAAAGAATGCAATAAGGTTTGTCTGGCATGATCTGTTTTTGACAAACCCATGTTGGCTTTTAGTAATGACTTGGTTTGCCTGTAGGTGTTCGCTGATTCGTTGTTTGATTATCTTTTCCAGAATCTTCCCAGGTATTGAGGTCAGGCTGATAGGTCTGTAATTTCCTGGGTCCATTTTTTTCCCTTTTTTGAAGATGGGAACTACATCAGCTCTTTTCCAGTCCTCTGGTAGTTCCCCAGTGCTCCAGGATCTTTGAAAAATACTGTTCAGTGGTTCTGAGATCACATCTGCCAGTTCCTTGAGAACCTTGGGATGTAATCCATCTGGTCCTGGTGATCTGAACTCGTCTAGGCTGGACAGGTGCTCACTTACCATTTTCTTGCCTATCTTAACGTGTTTCTATTCTGTTTTTTATGGCACTATTTTTGATAGGTTGGTCTGGTTTTTCCCTTTGTGTAAAGACAGATGCAAAAAACGAGTTAAATAGTTCTGCTTTCTCCCTGTTGCTTGTCACCTTCTTGCCACTTTCACCCACCAATGGACCAATCATTTCCTTCACTTTTTTCTTGTTTTTTACATGTTGAAAGAAGCTTTTTTGTTATTTTTGACTTTGGTCACAAGCCTTAGTTCATTTTGAGCCTTAGCTTTCCTCACTTCATCTTTGCAGGCTCGGGCTATTTGCTGATATTCTGACTTAGTTATGTGTCCCTCTTTCCACTTTCTATACTTGTCCTTTTTATCTTTCAATTTATCAGAGAGTTCTTTGTGCAGCCATGCTGGTTTCTTTTGAGAGCTGTTATTTTTCCTCTTTGTTGG